AATTATGAGATACTATATTTTATGAAATTCCAGCATTAACCTCTTTTAATGCAGATTACTTATCTAGGTATTGCGGTAGGTACAGAGTGATACGAAAATTGATGAATCTCGAGTTCTGAGATAGAAAAAAGAACGCCAACTAGTAAGAACCTGGCCGGCCAAAGAGAAATTACAGTTTTTCTTATTAAGTCAAACTCGAGATTCGTAGCGGTCACACGAATACCTAACAACTAATTTGTTATTATTACTCCGATGAGATTGTCACAACTATCAATAACTAAATTCGCGTGTTAATAGAGTGGTTTAAAATGAAAAAATTTCCAATTTTACTAGCCACCCAGATTTATCATTGACAACTAAAAGACATTGAACCTTATAACTTATCGAGCATATCCAAACATTTTGCTCAGGGCCAGAAGCCGGACACCAATTCGGCCCATGTCTGCATATACTTGAGATAGTTTGCGGTCTTGTGCCAATGTCAAGCCCAAAATATGATATGGGCTAACTAGAAGCCCAATTGACATCACAATCTCACACCAAATCTAAGCTTTAGGTACGGTCCTACCAAACTTAAAAGTAGCCATGTGTCCATAAATGAGAAAATATATGGTAGGAGAAATTGTTCGATGCACCTGAAACATGTATGAATCGGGTGATATTGAAAAATAATCTTAAAGTGGGACATGTCTACTATGTCGTTCACTTATATTATAACACATGTAATGTACTGTTATATGAATACATAAAAATTTCTAGTTTGGCAGAGAACATCGATGTCAAGTCCCCCATCTAGTCAAGAACACACAATGAGCACTTCCTTGCATTTGTGTTATCAAAATAGACTCGTGTATAATTTGAATGCATGAAGTCTCTTGTGTGTCTCTTGAGCAGACATGTAACGTGGCATCGAAGCCCCTACCCCTTAATCTCTATATCATGTTGGAGAGCCGCCCCAAATAGTGGGGTGTGTTGAAAAGTTGCCACAACGTTTGGTTCCCGAATTTGGTAATTTGGGTGACCCATTTAGCAGTCAAAAAGCTTTATAATTGAGTCACGCTTTCATCTCATGTTTTTCGTGTGGAGACTTAGGCTTTGAGGCACATGACTGTACGCTCTTAGCATCATTGCATGGAGTGGAAGGGGGTGGCTTAGGCTTTGTAGCTCAAAATATGTACCCCACTTGAACGGCTAAACCAATCATCTCATCAGTTGGAACTTGTAACATGTTAGCTTAGCTTTCCTCTTACTTTTTGCCTTTTTTTTCTTTTTCTTTTTTAATGGAGAGAGAGTTAAGAGAAGGAAAGGGCCTCATAACGCCTTTATATGGGCGATTTAAGGAATTTTTCATTATTTTTTGTCAAAATCTGACTAAGAAGTAAGGTCGCAGCTCTAATAATCTACACATTCATCCAATAAATAACTGAAGGCCATAAACGATACAAAATGGCCCTGCGCTTGTTACAAGCTTAAAGAAAGGCATTTCATAGATTAGCAGAGGAAACATTGCACATTGAAGGTTTCTTTGGGTCATATAGAGTACATACATATAGGACATAGAATAGAATAGTCAAGATCAACTCTTTATACATTCCCATATGCTTCTCTTTGACTTAAGGGCTTTATCTGAATGAATATTTTGCCATGCGAACATGTATGACATACAAAAACTTTTTCGCAAATGGTTAGATCAAAAATCTTTATTCAATATCACGTATGGATCATCAATTATTTATGTTTATCATATTACGAAATGCATAAACGGTTCATCTTGAGAGAACTGTCAATTTATTCGATGTGAATAGATTAGTAGACTATCTCTCCTTTGATTGATTATATCCTAAACTCTATTCAAGCCAATCTTTAGGGCATACTAAACAGAAAAGCAGACGCTTAATGTTAGTGAAGATTTTTGAAAAGTGGTGCTATTCTCGTACTTTTTTTACCTCACACACTTTTTGTTAATTTTTATCATTAATTATCTTTAATTTATTCAATCTGACGATTAAAAATTAAACATTATATATAAAAAGTAAGAAGTAGTACGTGAATAGCATCCGTTTATTGAAATTGGCTAGGCTTAAAATTGGTGCTTTCGTTCGGCAGAGATAGTACGCCGTGCTAGGCAATGCTAGCTGCCGAACACCGCCACGCGGAAAGTCCAGTACCACAAGCGTCCAATCCGATTAAGCGTTACACGCGCAAATTTAGACGCGCACTCTCGTGCATGTCGGTTGAAGAATGACAGCGTGTGCTACGCGCATTACGCACCATGCACGCAATAGGAAAAACCGTATATATAAAAATGCAAATCAAATCCCCTTTTTTGTCTTTCTGATATGACAATACAAAAGGTCGGTTATTCTGGCGCCAAATGCAGACATCGTGCGCATCAAATCAAATGTCTCTGAGCTGTTCGCTACGTGAGCCATCGACCGTTTTCTACTTTTTCTTTTTCTTATTTTTTGGGACCAAAAATAATTTGTATTTTATTTTTATGATTTTTCAAGATTATAAGAATTTTAATAAATTATTATTATTTTGTTTAAAAAAATAGATTATTAAAATCTTTACAAGTCTAGGTGTATTCAATTAGAATTTTAAATAAATTTATAACATTCAAGTATATTCAATTAGAAATTCATTTTGAAGAATTTGAAAAAGTTAAGGAATTAGAGGGAACTTGAGAGATTTCGTAGTGTATTTTAAGCATTCATAAATCTCACATCTCCCAATGAGATTTCAAGGGAATTGAATCAAAATTTTATATGAAATCTCTACAAATCAATTAAACTCTACAAAAATCTATAAATTTATAGATCCATTAAAATCTCTCAAATTCCCAATTGAATACCCTTAAATCTTTAGTCACATTGACTCTAATTGTTCATTAGATTGATGTTATCCTCAACACGATATCTGTATTTGAAAGCTATATTTTCACTACAAAACAACTCCTAAATTTAAGGGAGAAATAGACAAATTTTTGTTGTTGCAAGGCTGATTGGACACTCAAACATGCTAAATTTGTATAATTTGATCTTCCAAGTGTAATATGAGAAAATTAAAACATCATACTCATTTTATAAATGACCTTAAAAATATGGATTTGACTACAATATTTACATGTATTTAATACTGTCACTATCTCAATGGTCAAATGATGATCATACTAAATACTTCGTCACATGGTAATTGTATTAAATATATGCAAGTATTGTAGCTAGTACCCAAATTTAAGGTGTAAAATAGTTAGTCTTTTATTTTTTCTGTTTGGGTGATTTGAGGAAGATTTGGAAAGATACTTTAAGAAAATACATGGTTTCATGGAGCACTTGGAGCTATCGGAAGACTTGACATAAAACTTAGCACAATAGCGTTCTAGAATTCATACCACAGACGCCACTTAGTAAAATAAGATTTTATTGTCGTTGTTGTGGTGATTTGAGGAATGGTGACTTAAAAATGTGTAATATTTAATATAAATGACAAATTTAATATAAAGGACAACAGGTGGCTTAGTAGTAAGGACACGAACTGCGGTTCCCCAATAAACAAAAAAATGTGGAAGGTTCAGGATTTGATGCTCTGAGTTGGTGAGTTTGCTTGACTGTGACCATGGGCAGGATGAAATTTCCTATAGCCTATCCGAACCTAAAATAATGAATGTCGTGACTTATCATTAGTTGTCCAATTTTTGTTCCCAAACAAATTTCACAAAAGGACAACAAGTGAAATTACACAGGAGTAGGAAAATGACAGATTAGCAAGAAGACAAGAAAATATCTTATACTTATATTTTGAAATTTTGAAGATATTAGATTTGGTTAATAATAGTCACATTCAATTTTGTGGACCGAGCAATGTGTATATAAAGTCAAGCTATATAAGATTAGACGGTACCGAAGAGGATGCATGCACATACTTAATGTCTACTTAGGTAAAGCCTTTGTTTATTTTTCTATAAAAAATGGACAACTGGTGACAAGCCACGGTTATTTACCATTTTCAAGTCCAGAGACGTTATGGGAAGTTTCACTCTACTCATGGCTACAGTCAAGCAAACTCATCAACTCAGAGCATTGAATCGACGACCTTCCACGGGTAATATGCCTTTGTTTATTTTTGTATAATTTTAGGGGTTTCTTAAATTTCCAAACTTAGACAAAAATCGTAAGGCACATACAACCCCTACGAAAGGCGTCACCAAATATTTGTTTGGACAATAATTCTGATTGTATTTTCATATTTTCACATAAGATTATTGGAGACTGAACTAAATTAAGAAGTATTGACGTGTACCATGTATGTTCGAAGACATGTATATATTCACACTGCAAGCTGAAAGCTACATGTAGTATTTCTGTTTTCATATGACTTGAGCCAAAGACCTCTAATATATGAATATCGAGTACATGAGTACATACTTTAATCATTTGAGTCACAAACTTTTAACAGATGCATGCGATAACTAACTGAAAGAAACTCGTCTGAGCTGTCAACAATTAGTTATTTTTCAAGGATAACGTATTGAGATCACTAGTCGTACTTAGTCACATGCCTACGTTATTTGTCTCAATCACATGCCTACGTTATTAGTCGTACTTTGCATATTGATATCTTTTTCTCTAGTACCGATATTTTAAATACTACTCGTACTTAGTCACATGCTTACGCTATTAATCTCGATCGGAAAAGGGAAATGTAAATAAAGCTAAAATGTCAATAAAATTTTATTTTAAAAATTGGAATAAAAAAAGAGGTAAAAATGAAAATAAAGAGAAAAAAAAAACTAATAAAATGATTTGAAAACTTTGAATTTCAACGATAAGGATAAAATAAAGGGTAAAGTAAATAGTGTTAGAATTGACTTTTTAGTGTAAAAATACGATTTTTTGTTAAAATGAATTGAATCGAACCTCATTAAACTTAAAAAAAAATAAAAAAATAAAAGAAAAAGAAGGGAAGAGAGAGAGAGAGAGAGAGAGAGAGAGAGAGATTGTGTATTGGAGACGGGGCGGAAGATGGAACCTTCGCTTTCTGGTCGTTCATTCCATTCCACAGTATTCCAATAATTCAAGATATTTGTACCATTATTTTGTCATACGATATAATCCTACTCAACTTCCTTCTCGTATCTTTGGATTTCCCTTCTTTTTCTTCCTTTCAAAATCTATCTCAATTTCGTTTGCTGCAGGAAAAAGACTTCTCCGTCGTCCTCAAATTTCCCACTCATCACACATCTTAATTCGTTTTCTGAAACCTGACATTCCTGCTGGACTCCCTCAGCGTCAGAAGTCCAGTTGGCGTGTTTGGTTGCCGAGAAAACAAGCTCAGAAAACGGTGAGAAAAGTGCTTTGCTTTTAGTTTTTTTGGGTTTCAGGAGTTTTAGTTTCTTTGGTTCCCTGCATTTCTCAGAGCTCAACAGTTTCTGGGATTTTTGTGTCTAATGGTTTTGAATTGGAAAGTTGAATTCTTTTAATGTCTTCAACTGTTTAGTCAAACTTAGTATTTTTCACGCTCTCATTTTCTCCTCTGCACTCCTCCACTCGTTTCCGTTCGTTGATTCCGTTTTGATTCATTCAATCCAAATGCTCCAAAAAAAAAGGAGTGCATCCGGAGAAAAAGGAGGGTGCGGAAATCATTTCCAGTATCAAAGTGACTTTGTGAATTCCGAAAATGTGCATATATATAAATATGCAAATACTATATCATGTTGCTTGTAATTTGAGTTCTCTAAAATTTGTTTGCAAATTTCCCCAACTATTTTGGGATTAGAATTACCATCTCTCTCTCTCTCTCTCTCCTTATCTCTCTCCTTATCTTCATTTTCAGGTTCTGAACTTTTTTGTTGCAGGAAATGCAATTGAGAGATTGAATTCCTGTTTAATTATTATTTCAACAATTTTTGTATATTTTGCTGTAAAGTATACTTTTTGTACTGTTAAAGAAAGAAACTATAAGGAGGAAACTCTTTGCTGGTTATATATGATGGACCTACATCATTTTATTTGATTAAATGTCTATTGATCAGCAAGTGAAATTCGGGTTTTTCGTTTTGCAGGTTATAATCCGACTGCTGCAGTGTCATTGTGTCCTTTCGGTGGATAAAAGGTGTTTGATTTAGGTAAGAATGGGGTAAGACAGAGAGAAGTGGAAAAGGAGTGACATCCTTCTGGTAGATCCAGTAGCTGCATGGGCAGCTTATTGCACCTTTTAAATTTCAACCAGGACACCATGGCCAGAAAGCTTTTTACACACAAGAAGCATGATGGTGGTGAGTTTTTACTTCTCTCTGTGCAATAAGAGAAAGTCGAAAGTTTGTAGATGACGCGAATAATTCTCTTTTGGACAATCATTGAGAAAAAAAAAAAGAAGAGTTTGTATGTCTTGGAGGACAAATGTGAATTTACTTGGACGGTTGAATTGTTTATGTCCATTTGCTTATCGGCTGATAAAGTAGGTTTTTTGAACACCTTGCAGGCCTTGATGCTCCAAGAAATAGCCTGGAAATGCAGGTAGAACCTCAGAGCTATTGCGATGCTGGAGATTTGCCGGTAATTTTTCATCACATGCCTTCTTGTAGCTTGTCCTGTGGCCTAGGGTGGTTAATTTCTGTGGATTCTGTGCTCTCTGAGTTATGAGGATGTGGAGTTTCCAGTTATTGTGATTTGATTCTTGTGAGACATGGTACAATGTGAGTCTCGGGTTTTGAAGCTTTTCCGAGTTGAGAGTAATGCTACTTTGATTCTCTATGCATATTTTCTCAACTTTGTGATGCTCGTTTGCCACTTGATTTAGTAAAAATCTTTGGTTGTTACATGAAGGATGTACTTATTTTTAAGTTGGACTAAACTCTGTCAAAATATGTATTTATGTATTTTCCGGGTGCGTTGGCAGAATCTGATTTTTGTGTTTTCTTCTACCAAATTTCATCGTGTCAGAATTTTTGAGTAAATCTCCAATTCCAGCTAGTTATTTTGTTGAGAGATCAGAATATATTTAGTTTTCATATTTAGTTTTATGAAATAAATTTACTATATATATTTAGTTTTATTTTTAATAAATTTACATTGCATGTATCAGGTTGAAGAAGACTGGTCTAAAAAGAATAATCCATTGGAACAAAGTTCAATGAAGAAATTAATTAATGACGAAATATCCAAACTTTCAAGTACCAGAAAAAATGCACCAAACATTGTGGCTCAACTAATGGGAATGGATATGTTTCCAGTGGAACCGAAATCTGCAGTTCAGCCTCTGGAAGAAAATGGAAAAAATAGGAGAACGAAGTCTTTGAAAAAGGAAATTAATGGAAGGACCTCAGTTGGTCATCTTTCTTCTAAGCTAAATTCTTCAGGGCAGATGGATCTTGATTCGTATTATCACAGTAATGAGAGAGATGCCACTAGGTGGAGTGATAACCAGAAAATCGAAAATCCAAGACGTAGAGTACATCCTCAAGAAGAAGAACTGAAAAAGTTCAAGAAAGAATTTGAAGCATGGCAAGCTGCCAGGTTTAGGGAATGCTCAAGGATTGTCGAAATTGACAGCGACCTCAATGAGGAAAAGATGGTGGTTTCAGGGCATAGAGCAACTGAAAGAACATTAGAACATAAGGATCATGCCGTCAAAGCAATCTCTCATGAAGGTGGTGTTTTGGAACGTAGAGGAGATGAGTTTTCGGAACTATTCCCAGCCGAGCAGACGGAGTATTTGTCTTCAAGAAGCAGAAGAACCATGAGCTTAGACTTTGAGAAATCTACCCTGATGAACAGTAAGAAGAGATTCGAGTCATTCGACGCATCTTCTGCTCCTACAAGGATAGTTATCTTAAGACCTGGTCCTGATAGACTTTGCAACCATGAAGAGACTTGGGCAGGTTCTTCAAACACTCTAGAGAGGAAAGGTGGTATAGAAGATTTTCTCGAGGAGGTGAAAGAACGACTGAGATGCGAGCTGCGAGGGAAAATGCATATAAGGGGTTCTGTTGTCCGAGGAAGTGGAATTGAGACCCCATTTAGCGAACAGCCATCAGCTCCGAAGCAAATTGCTCAACACATTGCAAACCAGGTCAGAGAAAGTGTGACTAGGGACCTTGGCATGAATTTGCTGAGATCAGAATCGACAAGATCATACAGAAGCGAAATGCAGTTCAATGGATCAGGTTCCCCGGAGTTCATGCATAGAGATACTAAAAGAATTTTGTTAGAGAGACAAGGAAATGTTTCAAAAATAGAAACAAAACTTCGTGTTCCTGTATTAGGTTCTGGGAGATCTAGGTTATCTGCATTAGACAACGAAAGGGAAAGGGGAATAGTGAAATATGAACACAAAAAAAACAGATCATTCAGACATGGATCACATGAAGATGAGGTGCTTGGTAGAGAGTTGTCGCCTAGAAATTTCATTAGATCTTTATCCGCCCCAGTACCCGGAACATCCTTTGGGAAACTTCTTCTTGAGGACCGCCAAGTTTTAACAGGTGCTCACATTCAGAGGAAGCATGAAGGCATTGGACATGTGTCCATGGAGATGAAACATCAGAAGAAAGAAAGGTTTAATTTTAAAGAAAAAGTTTCCAATTTCCGATACAGTTTTATGCTTAGGGGAAGGCTTTTTTGCAAAAAAAATCAATCAGTTCTAGAATCACTTCATACTGAACGGTATCCTATGAAGGATATCATGAGCGGCCCAACAGTGATTACGAACTCTGGAGAGAGACATGTAAGAGGATACTTTATCTGATCTATTCATACTACTGATGAACACCTAGAAAGTAGTCAATTCAATTTATTTCCATCTTAAATCTTGTTTTGTGGTCTCAGGATAATTTCACTGAGGTGCCTCCTAGTCCCGCATCTCTGTGCAGCACTGCTCAGGAAGATTTCTGGAGGCCAACTGATTATCTTAGTCCAATATCAACTCCGAGTGCAACTCCACGAGAAGATAGTATCATGCCACAGGCTTTTAGAGATATCAGCGATAATCTGAGGGGTACATCTGTTTCTTTGAATTCTTTCTGTACATATTCTGTTCTAACATGACAAATCCTTTGATAGTATGAATGTGTGCATGCTTAGTAAACAGTCTTCTTAAATATATTTAGTGTGACTATACATATAGGTGTATATATGCGCTGTGTTATATAAACTGATGCGTGAAATAATCATCTAATAGTCTCGATTTTGCAGAGCTACGAAGACAACTGAACCAACTCGAGTCTAATGAGCCCGAGGACATAAAAGTTGAGGAAACAGTTGAGTCTGAAATGGCTAGGTTAGACAACCCAGCAGAGGTTTACATACGAGATTTGCTTGTCGCTTCTGGTTTGTATGATGGATCATTTGAGAAATCAATATCGAGATGGGACACAATTGTGAAGCCAATCAGCAACTCAGTGTTCGAAGAAGTGGAAGAATCGTATAAAAACTTGGCCAACAAGGAAGATCCTTCAGCAAAAGATCACAATGAGAGGGTAGATTACAAATTGTTACACGATCTGTTAAACGAAGCTCTTTCAACTGTTCTCGGACCACCAACAAGCATGTCTAAATTCAGGAGAAAAATGGTCAGCTCCTCTGCGCTGCCAGTGTTGCGCGGCAAGAAGTTGTTGAATTGTGTGTGGGGAATCATCAGCGAGTGCCTGTACCCTCCAACTGATGTACCCTATTACTCGCTTGATGATATGGCAGCCGGGGACCTGGGATCAGCTCCTTGGTCGAGATTGATGGACGAGGATGTTAACGCTCTGGGAAAAGAGATGGAACGCCTAATCATGGGGGATCTTGTGCAGGAAATTTTGGATGAACTGAAGTCATGATGGATCTTATGGATGAAACTTGTTTTTTTGGGCACGAGTTATTAGTGAGTTGAGCATATATTTGAAGGAAGTAAATATGTTTGTGTTAGTTTTTGTATATACATATGCGTGTGTGTGTTCCTTGTGGGGTTTGTGAGATTAGGAAATAAGAGTAGTACTTTCACTCGAAATATATGATATTGCAAGAGACTTGTTATTCAAGTGATCCGAGTATTTGTTATTTCACTCGAAGTTAGGTTCTGTTTTCCCCTCCTCACTGCTATAAATTTTCAAATTAACAGAGAAGTTGATCCCACTCTTCTTACATTAACATGATATGTCCATCACTTTAACTTGAGCCTTAGCAGCCCATGATTTAAATGAGTATTGAACTTAGCACCAAAAATTGCACCAATTGCTCCTTGTGCCCAAAAGGCCGAAACACTTTCTTTGGTCAAAAAACACTAACGAGAAATGCTAAGGAGACTCACTGCTCTTTCATGTTTTTGGCACAATATTTTTATAATTTTGGTAGGAGAATTAACGTTAAACTGTAAGGTGGCAAATAATCCATAAAGAGTCCCATTTTTGAGAGAATCCCCTTAGAATTTTCTCAACACTATACAAAAACCCAATGGGGGCTTATAAATGGCAAATCCAAATATTTGAAAACCATCAATTGTTTGGACTCCTCAACTTAGATCAAATCTACAAGCTGGAGGGGCACATGCCATGTCTCCTAATCATGCTAATTGCCACATTAATTAGTCAAAATTAACTTAATCGTCATCGATAAGCTCCAACGCGTGTTTACGTGTAATTGGTACTAATACTACAAACACAAAATTAATGTGCTTGTGAATGTTTTACACTAATCTAATAGCTAATAAGTCAACTTTTTGGAAAAAATAAAATAATAGGGAAGATAAATGATTAGCCCAAAGACTCCATGCATGCATTAGTCTAAGTTCTAATAAAAAAAAAATGGCAGCATCAAAACACGGATTATGTTCCAAATACACATGATTTAGATTAACAAATGCATATATCTTCTTCTATCACGGCACACATGAATTTTGGATCACATTCACATGCATGTCAAACCGACCCACGCTTTTCAGATGCATATATGTTGACAGGTAGCAAAGCCTCCTACAAAATTTGTATTCAAGTTCTTAGACAAATTGTGTATTGTTATATGGTATTCATCTATATGTATAAGTAAAAGGTTTTTATGTTTAACTTTTGTGGACGTTGAACTAAATTATTATAGTGGATGAATATGTAGCTTACCCAAACTCAGTAGTACAAATATATCGTTGTATGTTTAATCGTCTAATCAACTGGTTTTGTTCAACCGTTTAATAAAATCATTTTGTTCACTTTCTAAGTTTCTAACTAGGTTTTCATTGGGAAATATAAACTATGTCATTGACCTATTATAATATTAATAGTATAACATATAAATAATATAGTTGTTGATATTAGCATATCAAACATGTCATGTGGTAAAGGTGTAACATCCCACATCGCACATGGGAGTGGATCCTATAAGCCTTATATGTATATTCTCATATCTACCTAGCACAAGGTCTTTTGGGAGCTCACTAGCTTCGGGTTTCGTAGGAACTCTGAAGTTAAGTGAGTTCGTGCTAGAGCAATCCCAGGATGGGTGACCCACTGGGAAGTTCTCGTCTGAGTTAAGCGAGTTCGCACGAGAGCAATCCCAGGACGGGTGACCCACTGGGAAGTTCTCGTATGAGTTTCCAGAAACAAAACCGAAGAAGTTGTCTGAGTTAAGCGAGTTCGCGCGAGAGCAATCTCATGATGGATGACCTACTGGGAAGTTCTCATTTGAGTTCCCAAAAACAAAACCGTGAGGGCCCATTGGGAAGAGTAGGGGCTCTAATATCGTGCTACGGTAGAATCAAATCCGAGATGTGATGATTAAACCCTAATTAAAAGAAATTCCTAGTCCAAGTGGTACTTTACTTTATCTGATGGGTCATCTTTGTGCAGTAAAATGATGTCCATTGGATGGAGAATATTTCTGAATTCCCTCGTATTCAATTGGGTACTTTAGGTCTCATAATGTAAGTAAAAAAATAGTAAAAAAACATATTATTTTCTCCATTTATATTATGACAAATGATATACGAAATTTTTTGAGAAGTAAGATTTTCTTCTTTCTAATTTCCCTTCTTCTCCCGTCTTCTTCCACTTTTCACTTTGTCTCTTTTTATAAAGCAGTCAACACAAAATATTAACGTAACATAATCGTAATTGTCAAAATAAAACGAAGAGAAAAAAAAAAAAAAAGACCCGGAAGATGGGATTATGATTCTCTCCCCTCCTATTCTTATTCCGTTCCCTCCCATCTTCTCACACATTATTTTTTTTACCTTATTGTCTCTATAAAAAAATTAATATAATATGATGACGTGATTTAATCGTGATCGTTTAAATAGGAAGAAAAAGAAGAAAAAAGAGATTAGGAGAGGATTGAATCTTTCTCCGGAAGATGTGTACAGTGACTGTAGAACAAGTTCTGACATGAAGAAATCCAACACCAATGTCAGAATTTGAGTGGCAGTACAGACTAGAGGACAACAAGTACTTCACTGTAGCAGCCGCGCGCAGAGCACGGTGCTCCAAGACCGAATCCGGATCCTCGGATAATTTTTGTGAAGAGATTTATAAATTGTGTTATTTCGAGAAATTATTTTATTTAAAATTAAATATAAATAATATTTAATAAAAATTGATTATATAATATATAATAAACGAGCACATTATAAATCCTAAAAATTCTCACAAAAGATTCCGAGCAGATTTTGGCTCCAAGACCAAGATTCATTCATTCAACTGGCTATGTCAGATCAGGGCACCCTCACTGATGGAGCTGGGGCCTACCACCACTGATCATCCAGTAATTTCTAGTTACTTTACCGTAAACTACAAGAAATACCGAGTAAATCCCTCCAAACCCTAAATCCTAAACCCTTTTTATTTTCATATGAAAAATCTAAAAATGAAACTAACACTATATTTGGGTGAAAAAATTTAAAATTACTAAAGAATTTAAAAATGACGGAAATTGAAATGAAGAGATTTTATTTTCTAGAATTTGTAAATTTTCTTATTTAATTAACCTAAAAGAACAATGGAATTGAATACGGAATTTGTTATTTTTAAACTCTCAATCATAGAAGTTGAGAAATGACACCTATTTACATGGAATTTGAACTTGGGATTTGGAGGTCACAAATTCCAAGTTTTTTTTCCATGCGGAAATTCTAAATTTTATTGTTTTTGAATCCAAATAAGAGAATTGGTGCCTGTCAATTTATAAATTCTGACTTTTACCAAAATTCCATATTTATTTCCCTCATCCAAACATAGTGTAAAAGTCCAAAAAACTTTAGTTTTAATGAAAAATGACAAATAAAGGTGTAGTGAATAGTACTATGAAAAGGTAAAAATATGGTTTTTCGTTAAAAGTGAAAAGTACTAGAAGTGTTTCGTTAAAACTTCCAAAATCCAAACCCTTAAAATCGATTTAATTTTTTTCTGTGTTGTTTGAAAAAATAACTTGAATTTAAACAAGTTTAGAAACGCTACTAACAAAAGCGTTTCCAACTACATTGGCAGATCATGAATTTGAACTACATTTGAGAGTAGGATAGATTTTTCCTTCACCTTACATTTGTCATGAATGGCGTAATTATAATTATAAATATCGCTTGTAAAAATTTTCATATCTCTTTATCGATTGATGGGATCGTTAATTAAAAAATTAAGCAAACAATTACTGTTAATGGGTTGCATTTTACTCAAACATTGATGATATGATTAGTTGTAAGGCTTCAATTACATGAAACTTTTTCTCTAGGGGTTCTTCATTGGAACTTACTTTCAAAACAAGGATATAATGATTGATTATGATCAAATGTAAATTATATGTAAAACGGGAAGGTAAATCATTTTTACCATCAATCAAAGATTTCTTTAGGATTCTACAAATCTCTCAAAAACTATATTAAAATTTTAGAGGAAAAATAAATGCCAATATGAACTCTTGCATCGAAATTTTTTGAAGTACATCAATACATAACATATACTGTTAATTTTAACAGTCTGAACGCTTGCTAAAATTTTAACGTGTGATTTCAGGCAAGTAGACAACGATGTATAGTAGAAGGATTGCACTAACGCGCACACATGGGAACACTACACCCACCCACCAATTATTTGCTCTTTTTTCATTTTTTATATGATTTTTCAACATCCTCTGGCCCGTGTTTATATTTTCTCTCCATCTTTTTGTCGCCTTTCTTTCTCATTGTCTTTGTATTCTTCTTCTTTGACAAGAAGCACTGTCTCAGTTTTTCAACACACGCACAGACCGAGGACTGTAGAGAGAGAAAGTTCAAGAGAGAGATGATGGAGTGGGAGAAGCAGCAACTGAAAGAGCAGCAAGAGATGGAGGGGAATGGGAATGGAGGAGTGATGTATGTGAAGGTGATGACTGATGAGCAGTTGGAGACTCTGAGGAAACAGATTGCAGTTTATGCCACCATTTGTGAGCAGCTTGTTGAGATGCACAAGAACCTCACTGCCCAGCAAGATCTTGCAGGTCCCTCTATTCTTCTCACTTTTCTCTTTTACTCGTTCCAATTTTTTTGACTTTTTGCAATATGGTCCTTGTTTATGGTTGCTTTCAGTGGTCATTTGGGTTCATCTATTGGTTTTCTGTGATGGGATTTTTCTATTTCTTAACGATTCTTCGTTTTTGTAATTTTTCCTCAAAACTTTGGCCTTTTTTGTAGTTTTCCAATTCATTTCATGCCTGGCAATTTGTCGTCCTTGTTGAAGGCTTAGTTATACTTGAAATGTCACGGTGACGGTATTTCAAACCAATCGCGCACTTATGTTTTATTTTTTTCACTTGACGGTCCATTAGCTTGAGATACTACCACTTTGACATTCCAATTGTATGTTCTTGTGCTTTGTTTTGAAAGGGTATGGATGTTTGTTTGCTTGTTTCTCTGGTTGGTTGTGGTTTCATTTCTCACTTTACTTTGGGGTTCCTCACTCGGGTTGGTCCTTTCTACCATTGATCTCTAGTTTCTTCTGGTGTTTGTTCAAAGAATTTTATCCTCCAAAATTGGCGGCGTAGGTCAAGGCGAAAAGCTCCTAACTTGAGATGTTGAATTTCACTTCTTTGGGTTCCTCGATTTGTTCAGATTTAGCTCTTTGTGATCTGGAAATTGAACTGATTCGGTTTTTTAGTTTATACAGGCGATATTCTACCTTAAACATCCGCCCTAGCTAATATGGCTACGCACGCATCTGCGCTTTAGTTAATAAGATATTAACTAAAACTTTGTTATGCATTCTCATTCACTAGTACATTTTTCCATAAGGCAGACAATTTATTAGTTTAAAGTATATGCAATGACACCATATATGCTTTGAACAAAAACATCTGCATTTGCTATCTCAGGAGTCAGGATGGGGAATCTGTACTGCGATCAGTTGATGACATCCACTGGCCACAAAATTACTGCCAGGCAGCGGTGGACTCCAACAGCGCTGCAGCTCCAAATTCTTGAGCGTTTGTTCGAGCAAGGGAATGGAACTCCAAGTAAGCAGAAGATCAAGGAGATCACCTCTGAGCTGAGCCAGCACGGGCAAATTTCCGAAACAAATGTGTACAATTGGTTTCAGAACAGGCGCGCTCGATCAAAGAGGAAGCAGCAAAATGCAGCATGTAACCATGCTGAATCAGAAGTGGATACAGAAGTTGATTCACCTAAGGACAAAAAAACTAGACCGGAGGAAACATTTCAGTCCCAGCAGAACTCAGCTCAACGGACTGAAGATTTGTGCTTCCAGAGCCAGGAGATAAGTTCCGACCTGCATTTCTTGGATCCGCATACCACTAAGGCAGAAAAGATGTTCCCGTCACACAGCGGTTTAAGGAGTTCTAGACATTTAAGCGAAATGGCCTTCTATGATGATGTGCTCTCAAGTAAGTTATTGTATAAACTTTTATTTCTGGCTCTTGGCTTACCATCCGATATATCACTGATTTACCCTTTTCGCAAGATACACTCAACCAAACAAAATATCAACAACTGAAATTCTAAATCGGTTGTAAGTTTCCCGCATGCATATATGTTGACTAAGAATGCTACTGATCTCCATTTCTGACAGTTTGGTTAAATTTTAGGATTATGGTTTAGTAATAAATAACATCATACATACGAAATCTATCAGTGTCGGATTTCTATTTTTGTATGTCAGCTGAACCGAACACCTTATACTGATTCTTTGTATATGGTTATTCTCAAGTTATTTGGAACAAAAATGTGAAGTCCCTAGCTCTCTCAGTTACACGCATGAAAAATATGTATGTATTAAACTTTTAAGATTTGTGAAATCTTGACAGAAATGGCATGTATTCTGCAGGGCATGACCTGATGACCGGAAAGATGGAAGCCGGAAACTATAACCTTTTTCAGGAGGCAGAAGACTATGGCATGACGGGTTGACGCTCGTTCGTGAATGTCAAAGGTTTCGTTCTGTTTGACGAGCTATTTTGTGAAGGAGATTCCTGATTGAATGAGTTTGGTTCTGTTTGAATTTGGAGACATAGCAAGCCTAACCCTAGCAGAGAGTTATGGCTCCAACTCAATTTAACTTGGAGAGTAGATAGATTTAGTGATAAATATTATACTAGTATGACATATGGAAAGTTGCTTTTGGGGTTTTTGTGTCTTGAGCCTTGACTAATCAATCTTGCTTTGCCTTTTGCTTTGTTTATAGAATGAGAGTAGATATTTTATTTTGGGAAACCAATGATAGTTTATGTGCTTGTTGTTTACTTTCGTTTTCGTCGGCAAGACGGTAATTTAAACAATTTTAGTCTGTGTGGAGAGAGATTCGAACTGAAATACAAAATGACGAGATTAGTGTTCTTGCCAACCGGCCTAATATGCGTTTGTGTGCTTAATTTATGATTTGATTAAATCTTTCTTTGCAAGGAAAGGTTTAGGTGTTTGTGTAAGTTGGAGGATGGAATGATGGGAAAGATGAGATAAAAGTTTGGTCTTAAAGAAAGAAAAGTAGGTCATTGAAATTGAAGGTTCAATACAATCATTGCATTCACTAGCATGAGGAAGGGGGGCGGCTGGTGCAATTATGAAAAAAATTGTCAAAGGATATGATTATATGATTGTCCTGGAAAAGAAATTTTCAGTGTGTCGGGAATATGGCTTAATATAGTAAGTGTCATATACAAGTGTTTGAAATTTTTTTTTTAAGTATTCAATTACTTATATTGTGACATTTGGTGTGTTTTTCGGCACAATGAAAAATTTCTCATTCGGGTGAGATTAGTTTGTTGGATTTGGAATGTAAAATTGTTCAATTGCCTTTGGACACCTGGTTGCAATCATCAGCATTTGTAATGAATTATTCGAAGACTCAAATAATCAAATGTTAGATATCTTTCACAATTTTTCTTCAATAGGACAAACTATGCTGTAGTACAAAAAATGAGTGATCATGGTTGGTTGAATTGATAACGTATAATTTTTGTTTAGTTATCAATTCAATGGATGAAACTATTTAATAGTCTGAAATATTGAAGACAAACTCCTCTTTCAATGTACATACAAGTTTGATCTCTTCCAATGTAATTATGGAAAAAATATTTAAGTATTAACCTTTTGTAAAACGGCAAAATTTACCCATTACTAAGTGCAGTGTTCAAAAAATCCCCACCTAGCGTTGCCTAGGCCCCACCTAGGTCCTAGTCGTTTGAAAATTAAGAAATGGCGCATAGACCTGCTAAGGAGCCTGCCTAGACCGTCTAGGCACCCGCCTAGCCTGCCTAAACCCGTCTAGGCACCAACTAGGTTGCAACTCACTTAGACAGAAAATAGATGGCTTTCATTTTGCATTTTATTTTATTTTTTTCAATAAATTGTAAAGACTTGTTGAATACTTAAATGAACACACATTATATGCTTGTTCCCTATGTTTTCATTATGTCCAATACTTCATAATATATATATGTCATTCTATTTTATGGTTTATGATGAAATTATATATATTTAAGTATAAACAGACATTTATGTACACGAAATATAATAGATTTACTTAAATCCGCCTAGGAGCTTGCCTAGCCACCTAGGCGCTAGGCCCCAGCCTGCTGCCGGACTAGCGTCTGACGTCTTTTAGAACCTTGACTAAGAGTAAAAAAGACTACAAGTTGGGTTGTTTTGTTGAGTTGGGAACCTAATACGAACTCAACTTAATCATACTTCACCCGTCGCACAAGGTTAATAACTCAACTTGATGTCGATTTTTGAGTTCCGAGTTTTAACTTTTCTTTCTCATAAAATAGAGTGGTATAGAATTTCTGTTGTAGAAGAAAAAATTTAACAAGCAATTCAAGTTAAGGATTTGTTGACAAAAAAAAAAAAAAAAAGTTATGGATTTGAATTTAACTTTGGATTAAGTAAAATTCAATTAAAGACCAACTGTTAAAAGAAAATTACTATAGACACTAACTAGTTAATAAAATTGTTCTACAGTAAGATGCTTATGCTTGAGATTTTAACCATTGAAGCATGTATAATTCACAATGCACGAACGGTTATGATGTGTGCCCAAAAGCTTAAGGATCAATACTACTCCATTTAGTAAGGATAATATTATTTATATATCTATTTTTACTTCTCATTCATTATTCTTAATTTTTGACCGTCAAATCAAATGAATTGAAGAAAATCAATAACAAAAAATTAACAAAGATGTGTGGAAGATAAAATTGAATGTGTGAATAACGGTATCCTTTAATAAATCTACTATGCTTTGGTAAAATTAATTTTACCATTAAAGTAATTTGTTTAATTATGTGAACAATAATTTTTTTAATTAATTTTACCATCAACAGTAAGTTTGCATTCTCTGCACTAGACCTCCACCAGCTCCAACAAGTTTCGAAATTTGGGTTTTCAGCAGACTCACTCTTCTGATCGAACCTGCGTATCACAGTCGTAGTCGTCTTCCATGATTTTACAATTAGGGCTTGCAGAAAAAGGTGGGAGGAAACAGGATTTGAGAGGCTTCAGGGCCTGGGCTCCGATCGCCATTGAGGTTGAAAGAGGACTTCGTCTCGAGTAAGTTGGTTCGGGTCACATTAGAATTTCCCCATTCAATGCAAACTTCAAACCCTAATTTCCATGGATTTGGCATTGTGTTGGCCAATGCCATTGCAGTGCCTAATCTACAGAAATCGCCAAGGCTTTATTTTTATCAATTTATGAAAATAAGGTTTATCATTTTTATGCTTTTAATTGTTTCATGGAATTTCTGGGCAAAAATCCAGCAATGTATTAGCTGAAAATTCATTTCAGATTGTTCGATTTCGAAAATGTAGCTAAACCATTGTTATAAAGGTGGGAGCTTTACAGTGTAACATAAACAAACCATTTTCACTGAATGTTGCAGTTGCGCGTTAGGCCAGTTGGACAAGGTAGTGTGCCCGCTCCATTGCACGCCTTCCCCGTAGATTAGAGTAGCTTTACTGAATGACACAATTATCCTGACCAAGTTTTCTTCATGTTTTGAGTGCAATCATAGCAATGTTAAAAAATTGGTTCTTTTGTGGATATGCAGATGACAGTATAAAGGGGCGATTGTATGAATAACTAGTTTTGGGGGAATGGTGGGTTCATCTATAACTAATTCGAGATATACGTATTTACATGACTGTAAACGGCCTTGTGAAGCAGTTGACGTGCACCACATCATTGTTCGAAAGAGTGGTGCGAAGGGTTTCTTAATGTACTTGTTTGCTGTTGTTATTCTAGCTACTGCCTTCTACATTTTCTTTGTTAAGGTATGCCTTATATCCGCTTAATTTCATGTATCTCGTATAAATCATTTTACATTGTACTTCTGTTTGTATCTTTATTCTCGAGGTCCGGTTTAAGAGCTTACAGATGTGAATTTAGTTTGGTGAGAGACTTTCAGTTGCCATTTTCCATTGTAGGATTTCTGTTTGGTTTATTTGAAAAATTTGTTCTTGAAAGAAATTTCAAGCTCGATAATATGCCCGTTTTATAAGAATGTATTTGGGTGTCTGAAATTCTATCATACCTCAGCAACTTTGACACAATGATCTTACAATTAACAGGAGAAATCCGTCATCATTGTTTTATGGAGTCTCCTTTTAGATGCGTTCCTTGTAAAATTGCTTCAGAAGAGTGTTGAGAAAGGTGAGGACCCGAGTGATGGGGCTTTTGGTCCTCTGAACTGATACTTCCCGTGTTATTTCACATTAAGAATGTTTCTTGTCATGCTCTTACCTCGTTTAGTGTATTAATGACAACAGAGTCCATCATGGTTATGCCAGCGTTTGGAGTTCAACTAGAAACTCACTATGTGAGGTAACTTCTCTCTCTATTTGTTTTGTGTATTATCTTTGTTGATTAAATCATCTGTGCGAATTTACCCCTTTTACCATTGTAGTGGAAAGATTATTCGTCGGTTTGTTCCTATGGACAAGATTTTGAAACCTGTGGTACTAGAATGTGTGACTCCAGTTACTTGTTACTGGAGCCTGTCTTTCATTGTACACGGGGAAGCAGAATTGGTATTAATTTTTAAGGTACATAATTCCTTCTACTTATCAACTTAAGCTTGGAGAATCATCCGATTGGCAAGCTAATAGGAGGCATAAATGTGATGAAAGAGCTTGGCTTTTGAAAGTTGAATTCGTTTTCCAGGAATTGCGTCCGCCTATGAAAATGTTGGTGCCCATCTGGAAGGCCTTATGTGCTGCCACTGGTACTAAAGGAAGCTCAAACGCATGTACGGAAGATGGTTGATGGAGATGATTGATTGCTGCTCAAGCAACATAGAATAATTTGCGGAGCTAATGCAACCTCTTCAAGGTCACGTAGTTGTTTAGCATTCTGATTGATGGAGCTTCTGTTGCAAACCAAGCGACGAGGAGGATGAAAGGCGAGGATTTTGATATATACAAGGTTAAAAGGAATTCCTATTGCAGTCAGTTACGCAGGTCACACTGTACAATCTGCTGATTTGATTAATTGTAGCCAAAATCAATGTAAATTCAAAGTTTGTTCTTATTCTTTACTGTTGATTTGTTCAGGCAGCACTCCGATATAGCAATCGAATGAGTAGTCGAGTATTCGAGTTAACCATATGTGTACCGGTGACTGTTCTGCTTCTCCCTCCCTCGTTTCTCTTTCACTCTTGCTATAATTGGAGCCTAAGTTTCAAATTTTGGCAAGAGTAATTTGACTTCTTGAACTAGTTGAAATGACCCTCTGAACTATTATTGTGGTAAATTAACCCTTTGAACTATTTGAAACTAGCCAACTAACCCCTCGCCGTCATATTCGATGAAATTTCTTTCACTTTGCCATCAAATACCGGCATGTGACCAATGCGCAATTCACTTTTGAGGGTAAAGTCGTGCCACTATTTGATGGCAAAGTAGATAAAATTTTATCGAATCTCTTGATGAAGAGTTAATTGGTTGATTTCAAATGGTTCAGGGGCTTAATTTACTATAAAAATACTATTTTCTGCAAGATAAATGATTGTAATCATGGTTTACCAAATGCTTGCCTTGCCACCAAAGATTAGACTAATCACATATTGATTAAAAATCCGGGGTGCCCAACAACTATCATGATTAAGTATTTTCCTGCAAAACATTCGCTTTACAAAGATCTGCCCATGTGATCAGTGACATAGACATAAAGAGATATATCTCGATGACAACAGATTTTCATCTATTGTACCATTGTGACAAAACGTCATAAATCTAGGCAGAAACCAGGTTGGTTAACAGAAAACTAATATGAATTGATATTCCTTATGTGGAAAAACAAGTTACACGATCAGTCAAGTGCTCATAAAAAGGCACGTTCCTTGTTTTTCTTCAAAGGGGCTGGCATATGTACTTTATCAGAATGAAGCATGCTATAAACTAGGTACAAAGAATGAGAATGAATTTACGGCTTGAATGTGTCAATTCCGCATAGGCAGGGCCGGCATTGTGACTCTGGAACAAAACTGGATCGTCATCACTCTAGCTTCTAGCCAAGTTTAAACGTTTTTCCGCACGTGCAAGACTAAGTTCATGTCGACCTAACCCATGCCACAACTGATCGGTACCATCATTTGAGGACGTAATCTTAGCTATTTGCTTATGCAACGCCTCCAAGTTGACAAGCGGGGCAGTTGTTGGTCGACCATGAGCACACTGCAAAACAAATTTTTTTTCAGTGTTTCAGGAAGCCAACATAGAAGCCTCTCCCCGATACTACAAATCCACATTCACATCCGAAAGTTTTCTCTTGGCCTGTAACGACCACTTACTTGGAAACATAGAGAAGTCTGCTTTAGCTCTTCAACGATGAGGTTACACTCAGAAGGAAGCAAGGAATCCCCAAACATAATTGCACCTGATGAGAAGGAAATGATTGAAAAAGTAAGAACTGCGTAAAGAGGTAAAAGAGTAAAAGGTTATTCTGTCACTATAATAAAACCAACGCAAGGTTGACTTTCCAGTTTCTGTATGCAATATACTCAGTGGAGAAAAGGCCCTAATAAGTTTAAGAATCTTTAGGTCCATATTATTGAACAAGACTTGTTTGCCTCTAGGCTGAGCACGAAGGTTCAGATTTACCTCTGCATGCTTTAGAATTTAGGATTCGAAGAACTGATGGTGGCGTTGTGGATGATCCATCTGTATCAGCAAGCTGAAGATTGAACAGAAAGCTGTCAGTCATTAGTTAACTAAAGTTGGGGAATGATAAAGGACATCGTCAGAAAAAGAGGAAGGGAAAACTGTCGTAGAACTAAAGGCACATTACCTGCTGAAGAAATTCCATAAGATCCAAGTCAGATAAATTGACACCTAAGATGCAGGGTACCTGCATCTCGTTTATAGAAGAAAATCGTATCAATAACGGGAACATATGAGAGGCAGCTTCATATCAAGTCATCGCTTCAAACAAAACAAACAATATAGAGATAGGTAAATGATCTTGGTTCAACATGTTTTGAGCTCATAAAAGGAGTGAATGGAAGACTTAAAAATGAGAAGTGATGAGTTATTTACCGCAGTAAGTGTGATGGCTGTTGGCTGCCTGTGAAGGAGATTCAAATTCCTGCCAAATGGTTAAATCCCAAAAGTCAGGGTACATGACAACAATGTCTCAGAAAATACAATACAGTTTCATAAATGAACCATGCAAGTGGTGTCCAACTTATCACATTTTTGCAACACCAAGCATGAAAAGCAAAATGAGACAAAAGAAGCAACAACGTTTGATAGATGAATACATAACATGAAATCAAACACTAGACATGCATGTTATGCGCTGATTCATAACTCAATTGTGCAACCGAAAACTAAACATTGCTATTACAAGAATTTCAAATCCTTAGGGGCACTCCAATAGTCTTGCAGAGTTTATCTAGTGACACTCAAATCAGCAATACAGAAGCCTGCCAAGTTATTGTGTTATGTTCATAACTTCATAATGCTGGACACTGGTTGCAGTATCATATTCTTTTGTAAATAATAAATTATTAATAAATATGAAATATGCCGGGTAAGTCATGTAAAATACCTCTTGAAGGACCCTGAACCTTCAGCATGTGTGTTGCAGAGCCAACCCCACTCTTCAACTGGTTTTGCATAGTTATGCAGTAACTGGTAGCCAATCTCTGGCAGCACCTGAATTATATTATAAGAACTAAAGAGTCAAGGAATGCAAACCATTAAAACTTCATTTAGCATCAGATACACTACATACCAACTCTTGTTCAACATCCAGAAAAGTAATCGCCTTTGCTTCTCCTTCTCCACATAGCACCTACGTAGTCAGCTAGTCATGTAAGCCAAAATAGAAATATCATTTTCGACAGTCTAAACAGGGACGATACTAATACCTTCTGACGCAACTCCTCCAACCGAATCCTTTCATCTGCAGCGTGCTGTAGAAAAGAATTGCCGCCAAAGTTAGAACTCCAGCTGCACTAGTGTGCATGTGCGACTTAGTATGAATGTAGTTAATGTTTTATACAGCAGCATGTACTGCATATTTACGCTTATGCATCTACTTCGAAGACATACAATTCCATCTTATTCTGATAAAGTTTTCGAGTGACCAAGATTTTCATATATAAACTAATATCCTAGGTAGTTTATTTCTTCCTCTCTGAAGGCCACTCTTGGGTGAGTAAAGAACGTGATTAGATACATGCAAACTTTTGTTGTGATCTATAAGTGAACTGTAGGTGCCCCTTATTTAACAAGAAACTGCTGATTTATATAAGAGCATAACTCCCAAACTAAAACTCAAAAAAAAAAAGAGCCCGAAAAAATATACAACAAACAGACCTGGTCAATAACAGCAAGTGTAGTACCGGCTGTAACTGCAATATATTTCTTATCCACCTGGCGAAGAACTCTGCAATCACTGAGGCAGTTCTTGTTGATAGATTCAGGAACTAATGAGTCAGAAGAGAGATGCAAGAATCCAGAAGAGATGTCAAGTATGTTTTGATCATCAAGACCTTGCGTTTTACTTGAGCTCTGCATTATAAAAAAAATATTATTCCCAATTACAATTTGATTAAGCGATGCAAACTTTTGTGGCAAACAAGTATAGTGATGATACTTGACTGTCGAGCATCAACCGTCCACACACACACACACACACATATTATTACTCACCGTGATCTGGGGACAGCAATTCCGCCATTTAGTCCCACAGTTCAGGGAGTTTTGATCCTTGGAGATAAATTCTGAAACAGGGCAAGGATTAGAGCTAACATTACTTTGTCCAATAAATGATAAACAAGTTATTTTATAATAAGCATTCAAGTATTGATTACACTGTCCATAATAAACATATGAGATACCTTTAATTGGAGCAGTGGCTTGAATCGCAGAACATTTAGACTGTTCAAACATTTCAACTTTGTGCGTCTTGTTTACCCCAGCCATTCTATTTTGAGATTTCTCAGTATCTGATCTGAAAGAAAATTTGATGGTTGAGAGGGTAGAGTCACAACTTAAAGGAAAACATAACGTAATGACTAATGAGAAAATAATTGAAGTTCAAGTACCTGATGGCTAGTGGGAAATCCTTGAGAGAACTCGGGTTCAAATTTAGATGGCAACCACCAGGAGGTTTATGGAGATCCTTCATCTTGCTAACTTCTGCACAAAAGGTGTATCAGCTAAGCCGAACCTATATCAGCTCCTGAGCCCTAAAGGGAAATCACATGATAATACCTGGATAAGTAGGTGCATCATGAAAGGTTTGTGCATCAGGTTTGCCTGCTATTGTTGTCAAAGGATGACTTAAAGTAGAGTACCTCCTCTTGCTTCTATAGAATGGTGGTGCTGAATGGCTTCTTTTCGATCTTCCTATGGAAGATTGATTTTGTAGACAATCTTGATCTCTAAACTGATCTTTTTGTGTTTTATACAACTCAATATCCATGTTATCTTTTCCGCGGGCATACAAAGATGACCAACCTGTCTCATCAGCTAATATATCCGGACATTCGGGAGAAAACTCGCCATCTAAATTGTGTGGCTGAAAGAATTTTCCTGAACTTGAATAATCACTAAAATCCAGTTCATGGTCTGTATGTGTAGTGCAGTGTTCTCGGCTGGACCTCCTTGATATTATACCATACCCAAATGCGCGGTCCTTTTCTTCACTATCCACAAAATGCCTATTAGTAGACCTTTTAACAGATCTATAATGTCCTTCAACTGCATTTATATCAGAGACAGGTTCATGGTCCAAATACGTGTTTTGGGATACCGAATTCGAGATCAAGGAGCACCAATCATTATTTAAGGTCCTATGGCAGGAACCAATGTTCTCTACATTCATGACTGAACTTTCTTCATAAAACTGCTCCCCATAGTGTGGGAGTGACTTTATAAAAGCTCTTGACGGAGAATCAAACTCTGTAGACAGGTCAAATTTTGTCAAAACTTTGGTTAAGGGCCGAGCACTTGATTCCTCCTCTGGCCACAAGAAATCAAAACTCTTGCTGCTGTCAATTTCTGGAATTTCTACACTGT